CCAAAGTGATAAGTTGAGGGACTAAAATGGTACTTAAACCTAATTTAAATTACTTTGCATTGTAAAATACAAAGCATATCACATTAAGAGGGTCTCCTTGCATCTGGAGGCCTGTCGGAGCTATTGGTTTATATTATGCACTCTAACTATATAACAATTTTTTCAATTTATTTATGTTATATATATATATATATATATTTGAAAGAACTTTTCATTTTTTAAATACATTAAATTGGGATCTACGTGTAAGTGGATGAGTTGGTTGGTACTCTTGCAATTTAATTAGAGGTCTTGATTTCAAATTCTGAAAATACAGTTCTGTTAAAACTCGTGAGGGAGAGTTTTGCTGTCCGTTGGATCTTGCCTGATTTGAATCCGAATTAGTCGATAGTCTAATAGGCTTCCAAATATCAGATGATTCATACAAAAAAATACATTAAATTTAGACATAAAATTAAGAACAATGTATTTTTATTTTTTAAACGAAAAAAAGTTAATACATATTAAGTAAAAGGAGATTGAGAAACAAAATTTGTAGAGTTCAAATATATAACCTACAAAAAAATAATCTAAATTAACTTAAGATCTAAACCACTAGATCAGGGTATGGGATCAAAATAATATACTTTTTTTGGGGCTAAAAAGAACAATATTGTGATCTCCATCCCCTGTTTTTTTATAATCGATCTTTCCCATTATTTACCACATAATAAACCTTTATTAATTAATGTTATTAACGTAGAAAAACAGAAAATAAGATGTCGGAAAGACAAATCGGGCTTAAAAAATTTTTGATTTTGAAAAACAAAATTGGGCTTAGAAAGCCCAACAGGAAACCTAAGCTTCTCCATTCCATTTGAACAGGCCCAATTTCAGAACCCAGACTAAATTGAAGGAAGCGAAATGGCGCAGTGGAATTTACGGCAAAGAAGAAAGGGAAAAAGTTAGCCTTTCTCCTTATTTATTTACTTATTTTTTTCAAAAAATACATTTTGAATTTTGAAAAATCTGGAATTGGACACGGGTAGAGAGAAATCCATGCTAAATAGGAAAAGGAAGAAAAAGTCGATGGAAAGAGGAGAGATGCAGAAAAACACAGTAGCAGTACAGGAAGGGAGGATGAAGAAACTAAAGAAGGGTGGAAGAAATTTGAGAGTTGAAAT